TGTGGATCAAATGTCAATTGTAGAATTTAGATGGTGGGTAATGGGTTTGCTGTATAATCCTGTTAATTTTTCTGTATGTTTGAAAATTTTCATAGCAAAATGTTAGACAAAAAAAGGCAATTGCAATACAATGTGATAACATCTGTAAAAGAGGCCTGGAAAGGGGGCACCCAGCCGAGACTGTGATATGAAGGTTGGAAGTGCAGGAGCAGAGGATAAACAGGGTTTCTTTTATGCCGTATTAAAGGGTTGAAACTTTATCTTGAAGCAATGGGAATCACTAAATAATTTTAAGCAGGAGTGTGACATGATTACATTTTCATTCTAGGAAAATCACTCTGATGGCTGTGTGAAGATTTAATTGTGGGAAAGCAAGCCTGGAGACTGAGACCCACTAGGAAGCTTACTATGATACTAGCTAGAGATAAGCTTCTCAAGCATCAGCAGTGAGAATGAAAAGAGGTGAACAATTCTAAGAAATATTAAGAATTAGAATAAAAGAACTTAGTACCTAATTGGCCTACGAAAGCAGAAGAAATGAAGGATAAACATAGTAACCAGTGATTTGCTCAAAAGTATTTCACAACTGGCTCTCTGAAAAAAAAAGCGTATGTATACATATACTTGTACATAAGTTTATTATAAATGTTATTGATATAAAGAACGTGTAGTATACAATTTATAAAAAAATAACAAAATATACAATATTCTTTATTGTAAATTCCATATAACGTATTGATTCTCACAGAATGCTTTCACTGATTTTTGGCCAAATTCTTATATCCTCAGTCGACCAATGGTTACAATTGATGAATGAGTGTATTTCCGACAAGAATATTGATTGACGTTTTCCTCTTCTTTAACAAGTAGAACAAAAGTAAAACAGAAAAAAAGATGTATGTGTATTGAAACTTCATTTGTCATTGATATAAGCAACTTCACAGCTGAAGAAGATAATTTTCAACTACTGGAATATTTCCTCAATTCTTTTCTTCTTCTATTCTCACAGATACAATACACTTTTGAATTTAATCTGCATTATTGTTTTCTCCATCACTTTCTTTAGATGATCAGTAAGACAGTAATTCAAATCCTAATTTGTAGCATATTTCTGTTGTATAAATACTGCTACTATGGCAGATTTTGCATGTCTAACAAGCTCCCAGATAATGGCAATGCTTGGGATAAATAAAGCTTTGGATAACTGAATCTGAGACTGAAATTGGCTTAACCAATTTGACTAGCATTCTCTCCCTGTTTATCTCTCAGTTCTGCTTTCTTGTGTTGACCTTGTTTTTTTCTGACTACAAACAAGCTTCCTCCAACTGGGGAGGCAGATATCTACTGACAGCCCCAGATTCTCATCCCTCCAACACTGAGACCATCCCTCTAAAAGTAAGAGACTGTCTTCCTTGAGAACTATAGCAGAACAGTCCCAGGATCATGTGTCCATTCCTGATCCAATCACTCTATCCAGATGAACGGGTTTCTCTATGCAATTCTGGATCACATGTCCATCTGTGTGTTAGGGGTAGTGTGACTGGTGTTCTCCTCAGAACCACACAGAACAGAGCAATTCCCCAATGGAAAGAGAAGTTCTTTGCAGACAAAAATGACATTGTCTACAATAGAGATAAACATGTAGGTATCCCCATTATCTACAACTGGTGTCAGCAAACTGTACCCTGTGGGCCAAATCTGCCTACCAGCTATTTTGTAAATAAAGATTTATTGGAACTCAACTGTTCTCCACTCCTTGTTGACAGTTACTTTCTAACTATAATGCAGAGTTAAGTAGTTGCAGTGGAGACCATATAGCTCCAAAAGTCTAAAATGTTTACTATCTGTCCTTTTATAGTAAAGGGTTGCCAACTTAGGTAGGAAAGGAAGCAGAGAAAAATATACTAGGTAGAGGGGGGTGTAGAATAGAGAAAGCTATTGTTTTAGGATGTATCCAGTGAATTTGCATTGACCACGTTCTCTGTGTTATTCACTGTTTTAGGTCCTGGAAATTAAGCAAAGCATAAAATAGACAAAGCCCCTGAGTATTAGTTAGGCAATTGGCTAAACCACTACAACAAACGGGTCCAAACAAACAATGATTTTTATTTATTTATTTGTTCGTTTGTTTATTTAATTTTTTTGGAGACAGGGTCTTGCTCTTTCACCCAGGCTAGAGTGCACTATTATCAAACTCCTCGGCTCAAGGAATCCTCCTGCCTCAGCCTCCTGAGTAGCTAAGACTACAGGTGCATGCGACCACATCTGGCCAATTTTTTAATTTTTTGTAGAGAGAGGTTCTGACTACGTTGTCCAGGCTAGTCTCGAATTCCTGGCTTTAAGTGATTCTCCCGCCTTGGCCTCCCAACATGCTGTGATTACATGCATAAGCCACCGTGCCCAGCCAACAATGATCTTTAAAAGAACAAAGTTTGTTTTCTCTTGTGTTATGGTCCAGAAGTCTGTGGTTAATCCAAAGGAGGAAGTGCCTCAGTTCCCTGAAATTAAGCTGGGACCTAGGCTAATGGGACAGCTTTGCCTTCCTCAATGTATGGCTTTAATTTCCAGCCTATATTTCTTTTTGCTATTTTCCAGACAGCAGGACGAGGGAAGAGGAAGTATAGGGCAAGCAGCTTCCCTTTTAAGGGACATGATCCAGTTCTAGTCACATCTCATGGGGCACTTTTTTATGCAGCCACATCTCGCTGAAAGGGAGGCCAAGGAATGTCATCTCTAACTGGGTCACCAAGTGCCCTGCTAAAACTTGAGTGTAGAGGTATGTCATCTTACTAAAAAGAAAAAGAACAGAATGAAAATGGGGATGTGGAGCATATATTCTAGAAAAAGACAACTATAGGCAAGTAAAGAGATGACTGTGTATATGAAGTTGTGGTAAGTGTTATGAAGAAAAACAAAGCAGAAGGACAGAGGAGCTAATTTATAGGTAGTCAGTGACAAGTGAGCAGTCTTAAATAAAGAGAGAGTATGAGGCATGCAGATATCTGGTGGGAGGAAGCAGAGGGAGCAACCAGTGCAGAGCACCTGAGGCAAGAGCATGCTTGCCACGTTCAAGGAACAGAAAAGTCACAGGGACAGGAGACAAACCAGAAAGAATGATAAAGTATTTCAAGAGGGAGGAAGTAGTCAAGAGTATCAAAAGCTGCAAGGGTGAAGATTTGGCCATTGGAACTGGCAGCATGGAGGTCATGAGTGACCTTAACAAGTGGCAGTTTGGGTGACACGAAAGACTTAGTGGTGTGAATTCAGGGGAGACAGGAGGAAGTGGAATTAAAGAGAACAAGTACAGTCCTCTCCTTTGAAGAGAAAATAAGACTGACTCAAACGTGTGTTGAAGGTAAAAAACCAGTAGAAATGGAGAGGTTGAAGATACATAGAAGAAAAGAGGAGAAAATTGATGGTGCAAGGTCTCAGATGTGGAGAAACATGCCACATTCCCTCCTCTTCCACTATGTCAGCTGGAAGAAGATAAGAATGGGAGTGAATGAAGATGTTGAAACAGGAGGAAGCAGCGGGAGGCTGTGGGAATTCCTGCCCTAATAACTTTAATTTTCTTTCTGAAGTAGGAGGCAAAGTCATCTGAGTGCAGGGGGAAAAGTTTTCCTCAGCTATGCATGGTAGGAGTGAATAAGGGAGAGATTTGTATTGATCTGAGGTTTTGTGTGGGGAGTTGGAGCCAGGGCCAAAACCATTGAGAAGATTGGCAAGACAGTGTTTGAAGTCATGAATCCTGTGGAGTCTTTCCTCAGTAATGCAGAGATTTCTTCAGTCTCCATTCTTCCAAGGACAGGAATAAGAAGGCAATACTCTCCTCAAACTCACTCTTCTACCAAAACTATCTGCCTTGAAGAGCATCAAAACTAAGGTCATTATGCTGTTTATAGCAATCACCACCACTAGCCCAAGACCATCTACTTTTAAGCATGAACAGATAAGCAAAGACTGTCGGGCATCTGAAGAAAACCTGTGTCAGACTTGTAACACCTGTGGCGGCACCATTCACTCAGTTTTGGGAGTCAGAAACCTAGAATCCTCTTTCTGCACACCCACTTGGTCAATCATCAGGCTCTATTCATCCCGCCTTCTAAATATTCCCCAGGCCACCAACTGCTCCCCATCCCCACTCTGCACACCACTGGTAGCTTGGGTTTCTATCATCCCTCATCCAGATACTCCATCCCGCCGCCTCTCTGAGGAAAAAATGATCATACCACTCACCTGGCTAAAAACCTGCAATGACTCCACCACTGCTTTTAGGAGAAAGTCCGCCCAACTCACTAAGCTAGTTCCAATGCCTTTCTGTTACATCATCACTCCGCACTTCCCCTGCTCACTCATCCACTGCTTCCCCACTGCTACGTCCTCCCTCCTGACCCAGCACTTGCTCTTCCTCAGCCCCAGAAGGCTCTTCTCTAGCAATTCCCTCAGCCCCGTTCCCTTTCCTGGCTACTCCCATATTCATTCTTCTTGTCTCAGCCTAGTGGTCCTCAAGGAAGCTTTCCTGACCCCGGACACCGACCGGGCGTCCCTCCTGTGCAGCAAGCACTGTATTACCCCCAGTAATCCATCACTCGTACTGCCTCTTCCTGCCGGGACCACGTCTTTTTACTCCACTCCTGTATCTCCAGCATGCCAGCACCGTACTGGGTACACAATAGGTGCTCAAGACAAGTTTGTGGAATGAATCAATGAGTGAATACATCATGAATCAAATACCCTGGAGCTTCTACTACATATCCTGCATTAAATTTTAATAGAAATTAAAATCGATCAAATGAGCTAAAGTAAGTTAACGTGCTTGGAAACCAGACAGCGGCTCTGAAAAGCAGTCGGAGTCTGCCAGCCGGGGCATCCGGCTGGCCGGCCCTAGGGGCGGGGCCGCGGGGCAGACTGGGGCGTGGGGGCGGGGCGATCCCGGCGCGGGGGGGCGGGGCTCGCGGGCAGGGAACTCCCCTTCCGAGGCCCAGGCGCGGCCGCGCGGCCCCGAAGCGTGGTGGTGGGGTCGTGGGTCCCGGTCGGGTGGTCCCGGTCACGGGCCGCGCCGCCGCCACCGCCATCTTGCCCGCGTCCCGGCTCCGGAGGCGGGAGGGGCGGTGTTCAGGCCGGAAGCGGCCGTGCGGCGGCGCGCTGCCACCTCAGGTCGGTGAGTGCGGCCAGGCCGCGTCTCGGCTCTCAGGAGCGAGGCGGCCACCGCGAGGGGTCCGAGATAGCCTAGTTGAAAGACTAGGGCAGAGGCGGGCCCGGGAGATCGGCGGGGAGTCGCGTTCCGTGCGGTGGGATGATAACCGCGCCGAGCGGCCGGTCGGGCCTCGGCAGGAGCCCGGGACTGCGGGCGGCGCGAGGGCGCGCTGGGACCTCCTCCAGGGCGGTGGGGTCGTGCGCAGCCGTGTCCCACCCTTTGACGGCAGGCTCAGCCTCGTGTCTGGAGCATGGGACTCGCCCTCAGATGCGCGGTTTACCCGGAATAGCAACATGCCCTGTTTGAGTTGTACCCTATTAAATACTGTACTTCTTAAACGGCCTGTCTCCCGGTGAGCTCTCTTCTCTTCAGATACGACTAATGAAAATTCCTTAAGAGGATGAATGGAGCCTCTCACCTTTTCCTTGGGCTTTGCTAAATTGCTTAGCAAATGACTGCTTTGGCAGGCCTTTTTGTATAACTATATTTTAAGGGAAGTTTGGTCATTGTGCAGTGCATCTCCTTGAGGATAGTGATGGTGGGAATTTTCTTGAAACTACTGTCGTTGTAATTTGCCACGGTAGGAAAAGTAGAAGGCAACAACTAAAAGCATGTGATTGGATACTTTGTACATTTAGTATTATTGTAATGTATTGGACTTCACTGTCGAGTAACCTCATGGGGTTGAGATGTGCTGTAAGTGTAAAATACACATCGGATTTCTGAGACTTGGTACCCAAAAAATGTAAACAAATCTCACATAATTATTTTTACATTGATTACATGTTGAAAGGATAACATTTTTTATATATTGGTTAAATAAAATGTATTTTTAAAGGTAATTCCATTTTTTTTTTTTTTTTTACTTTTTAATGTGGCTACTAGAAATTTTTAAATCATTTGGCTCACACTTTATTTCTTTTGGACAGTGCTGTTACACATGTTCCGGGGATGAACACAGAATCAGCATGCCTTTCCTTTGCTGAGAAACCATTAATGGGAAATGAGCACTTATTAAACTTGAAGGTGAGGATCTGAATATAAGCTGTAATTATTGCAAACCCCACCCCTTCTACATGCAGTTTTTCAGTGTCTCCAGCATGCGAAAAAAATATTGACTTCCAGGGCTGACTAAGGGAATGGTAGTAATACTAACATCCATGTGATGTGAAGGGCTCGTTTCAATAAATTGTCACAACTTTGTGAGATTGGAGTAGGATAGATTCTATCTCAGTGTTATGGTTTTGAAATATTAAAAGATTTGTTATGGTCTAAGCTAGTCAGTGGCCATAGGATTGCTGACTCCAGGTTGTTTTCTTTGGTCTACTCTAGATTCCTAGTGATGTGTGTTCATTGGTGAGGATCCATCTATATTATGTATTAAATTGCGAATACTTTTCTTAAGAGAGTAGTTGTAGGTGTTCCTCTCTACAAAGGGCTACCTTCATAATGTGCAACCTATGCCCTAATAATAGCACAGGGCCCAGCATTTAGAATCACTAGCACTTGGCTTAGTGGTCTGCTGTAACTATCTTGAAATTTTTTTTTTTTTTTTTTCCCTAGACAGAGTCTCACTGTGTTGCCTGGGCTAGAGTGCCGTGGCATCATCTTAGCTCACAGCAACCTCAAACTCCTGGGCTCAAGCGATCCTCCTGCCTCAGCCTCCCGGGTAGCTGGGACTACAGGCATGCACCACCATGCCCGGCTAATTTTTTCTATATATTTTTAGTTGTCCGATTAATTTCTTTCTATTTTTAGTAGAGACGGGGTCTCACTCTTGCTCAGGCTGGTCTCGAACTCCTGAGCTCAAACAATCCGCCCACCTCGGCCTCCCAGAGAGCTAGGATTACAGGCGTGAGCCACTGCGCCCGGCCCATCTTGAAATTTTTAAACAGTTTTTTAGTAAGCAGCCCCACGTGTTATGTAGCTGATCCTTTCTCTATGCAGTAGTCTAGGATGGAAGTTGAGAGACATTGCACAAGCACCAAAACATTTGATATTCAGTTTACTCCCACATGAAGTGAGAAGAATTTCCTAGTGTCTTTCTAACTCTTAAGTTCTGTGATTCTGCATAAATTACTGTAATGAGATTTTGTGAATGGTAATATAAATATTTTAAGTGCATGACATCAGAAGAAATGCTGATAATTTTCCATTGAGAGTCATGTAAATCACAGTTTTAAAAATTACAGTAACACTTTCTATTTTGTGTTTTGTAAGATGGATTTTTCCATGTGACATCAGGTTTACTTAGACTGTTGTATAAGGAGTAGAGTTGTGGAATGGAAGCCTAGAAAAAAAAGTATGTTTATTTGAGTATTTATCTTTCAGTGAGATAGGAAGATGGGCCAGATCTTGGGATATCTCCATTCAGGAGATTTCCTCTGTGAGAGTGTATGGACCCTTACTTGGTAGTATCTGTTCCTTTTCTTTGCTGTCTTAGCTACTTCTGTTACATGAGGTGCCTCTCTTGCTTCTCATTCTTAAATTTTTAAACTCGCTTTAAGATTGGACTTAACTTTATTGCTAGAATGCAATCTTTATTAAACCAGGCACCTATCTGCCCCTGTTCACCGCTACATTCCCAGCATCTATAACAGTGCCTAGAACATAGAAGGTGCCCAATCAATAGCGAGAGAATAAATGAAAGAGTATTAGAGTAATCCTCTGTTAGGATGGCTTATTTTGGGACTCTTGCCCATCATTGAAACCAGTTATGACAGTGGGCACTTTGATCTTGGCTGGAGCCAACATCTACTAGGAATGGTAGAGGGTTGAAGCATGAGGAAATCGGTAAAAATTGAAGATAGCAGTTGTGAGAAGTGTCAGAGGGACCATTCAACACATACATTTATTTAAATATTTGTTAACTATGTACTAAGTGCCTAGCCCTGTACTAGGGGCTGGAAGTACAGTGGAAAACAAAAGATATTTTACCTGCTCTTATGGAGTTTATAATCCAATAGAAGAGACAGACGTAGGTGATTTAAAGGGAAAGAATACTGTTTAATGAGAGTGTGGTATGAGTAACTTGACCTAGGCTAGGGAATGGATAAGGGTGGTTGATGTCAAGGTTGAGCAGGTGTTAACTTGGCTAGGAAGGGAGGGAAGATGCTCCAGCCAGAGGAAACATCATTTGCAAAGATATGGTGTTGGGGGGCAAGGGGTTCCAGGAACTGAAAAGAAGGACAGCATAGCTAGAACACAGTTAGCAAAGAAAATGGTATGCCATGAGGCCAGCACAGTAGATAGAGGCCAAAGGCATTTTTAGGGTTTTGTAGGTTATATTAAAGATTTGGAATGCTATACTAAGAGTGGTTGGAAATCATTTTAAGCACGGGTTGAATAACCTGGTCAAGTTTGTGTTGTAAAAAGATCGCTCTGATCCTCGTTATAGTGGTGAGTAACCAAAAAAAAAAAATCATGCTGATATTCTGTAACACTTAATTTCCAAAGGACCAGAGTGGAAAGATGAATAAAAGAATTGCTGAGCCAGCACCACAGACCAAACATGTTGTATGCCTTAATTTCTTATGGAATCAGTATGCAGAGCCTTGAGATTGTCCTCAGTCTGGTAGCACTTGACAACCTCAGTGGAGGAGACAAGGTGGTAAATAATTAGGTTGATCTAGGTTTGGGGAAAGGCAAACCCAAAGTGACAAGGAAATGAAGAAATTGAGGATGCTAGTAAGAATATAATTGAAATGATTGATCCTAGGCTTCAGAAATGTCAAGGAAATAAAACCAGTGTAAGAATTCTTAAATGGTTTTCCTAATTGTCTAAATTATGAGTCTGTGAAATTCTAGACTGGCAATTCCTAGCTGAAACTTTTGCAAGATCAAAAGGTAAAACAATTACGTTTGAGTTGAATTATTTAGTATTAATGTATCTTTATTAGGAGTCTGTGCCAGGTTCCATATATGGTCCTAGGGATAGAGAGATAAATGAACCATTACTTTGCCCTCTAGGAACTGACAACCTGGTTTTACAGGTAGAAATTGTAATGAAGGTTTTAAGTATGTTCATTTGTTTTGAATCAAGACTATTGCCTCTTGCTAGCCTCAGGTAAAAACACACATTTAAGTTTTTGTAGACATCTTTTATTATTAAAACATCATTTTTAACTATAGAGCTATTTTTAGTTTGTGCTTCCACTGCTAGACTTTATTTTTTCAAAGATCTCATTTTTAATACTTATTTAAGGTTTATAGAATT